TTTGGTCATGGTGTTCTACCATAGCAATAGTAACCCTAGCTAGGACAGGGTGGTACTGCTGAGTTATCATGTCTGTGTTGAGACTATCTGTTGGGGAATATTACTATTTTAAGGTGCATTACTTTTGCTTATGTTTCATTTAACTCTGTGAAGCTGTGTTGCTGTGCCTGTCTAAAACACCTGATGGTCTAATAAAGAGCTGAACGGCCAATAGCAAGGCAGGAGAAAGAATAGTTAGGGCTGGCAGGTAGAGAGAATAAATAGGATAAGAGCTTTAAGAACAAGAAAGAAGGGAGAAATCAAGGAGCTAAAGGAGGAGGACTCCAGCGGCCAGGCACCCAGCTACACAGGAAGCCACGGAGTAAGAGTAAGATTTACAGAAGTAAGAAAATGGGGAAGCCCAGAGACAAAAGGGTAGACAGTGATAATTCAAAGTTTAAGAAAAGCTGGCTAGAAGAAACTAAGCCAAGCTAAGGCTAGGCATTCATAAGTAAGAATAAGCTTTTGGGAGCTGGGTGGCAGGCCCCTCGAAAGGAGCCAAAATACCCCCAACAATCGCTATCCACCTCACTAGCTTCAAAACACAACAGATCTAACTGCCCAGAGTACCTGCTGACCTCTTTCCATTCTGCTCAACAGCATCCCTATTACAAGTGAGGATATCATTCTGGATTGCTAGAATCTCCCATGCCTAAATATCACAACTAAGAAGTAGCATATGACTTTACCCTTTCTGGAAACTGTAAGTGGGCACTAAATTCAGGGAAAAGGAACACCAAGCACTGAAAACCTCTGGTCTCCCCTGGAGCCAAATCACAGTGTCCTACACATACCCCCACTCCCATGCCTGAATATGGAATATAGGTATCTTCTCTTTATAGAGTTGCAATACAATGGAAAGTCAGTCATCTGAACCAGTTACTCTATAGAGAGGTTCAGTCCAATCTTCCTACTTGTCCCATATATTTAACTTTTTAGCAAATGTTTACTGAACCCAACAGTGCCCCGAAGCCTTCATCTGCTCCCAGGAATGCACACAATAAAGAAGAGCCATCACATAATACGTATTTTCAAAGAGTGAAAGAGAACAAAACAAAAAAGCTCAGAGTGGCTTGGTATCATACAAGTGGACTTCAGTGAAGCTGCAGATGACTTCCCAAAGCAAAGAAAATGTCCCAGCATCATTGTGGACTCCCACCATGACATAATCTATTTGTGAAAGTCTGCTATGAAATTCAAGTATTTAACATTTTTATCCTTTAAATTTCCCTATTGGTGTAAGCATTAATATCAAATTCCTAGTCAGTTATTCACATTTTAATGCCACCTAAACATAAGTTTTGTTAAGTTTTATAAGTGAAAATTTTAAAGTAGAATTTCAATTTAAGCCTTTTGGTGGTGGAGCACACCTTTAATCCCAGCACTTAGGTGGTAGAGGCAGGAGGATCTCCATGAGTTAAAGGCCAGCCTGGTCCACAGAGTGAGTTCTAGGACAGCCAGGGCTACACAGAGAAACCTATCTCATAAAACTAAAACAAAAACAAACAAACAAAAAAGAATTTCAATTTAAAACTTTAAGGGAAAAAGGTAATACATCTTTTGAGTTCAGTCATTTAAACCTTAGCTCACCAAAACCCACTGTGCCATCAACTAATATTGTAACTTATAGAAAGAATGAGCCACAGGCTGATCTCTGAAAGGTAACTAGAGGAACTAACACATCATCCTAACATTCGCCAACTGTGCTACAAGAAAGACAGAACATGACATATTAGTCAAAGCAGAAATAATGCTATTTCCAACTAACTTCTTCGCTCCAAGCTTCCTCCACAGCATCAGTCTTTGGGCAGTTACGCCAAGCACAAACTGACTAAAGCAAGTTACAAAGGAAAAGAGAAAAAACACAAAAGCATCTAACTTTACAGTTCTGAACTTTGGCACTGAGAATCCAGGAAGTGGCGATGGCCACTTGTCCTAGACCGTAGGAACACACATTATTTTGTATACACTTTCGTGAGAACTTTGATCCTTGGAAGCCCATTCAAGGGTCCTAAGATAAAAAGATGCCCTAGATAAAGGACAAATTGCAGAGTCAGTTCTAACATCAGGAGTTGAAAGGATCAAAAGAAGTCACTGTGCAACAAGTGATTTTATGCTACCTAATTTATTTTCACCCTCTACAATAACCTTGGGAAATAGGCATTATCATCTCTTTCCCAAATAGGAAAAGTTATTTTCGGAGATGAAACAACTCTTTTCATACCCTATGTTTGCTATTTGCCAACTATCTGGCTCATAATCACAAACTAAAGAATTAAGGAATCAGGTATAAATCCTAAAGATCTTCCATAATGGAGAGATTCTCACTCTTAAGTGTTTCATTAATGTGGTCAATTTATCTACATATTTCTCCTCAATTTAACTTCATTGATAAAAGGAATTTATATAGATTTAATTCCACAACATCATTTACTGGTAGGAGATAATCTTAAGACAATGGTAAAAGTTAACTTCAGATGTCAGTCCTCTGGAGTCATCCACCTTGGTTTTTCATTTGTTTGTTTTTGGTTTTTCAAGACAGGGTTTCTTTGGGTAGCCCTGACTGTCTTAGAACTTACTCTGTAGACCAGGCCGGCCTCGAACTCAAGAGATCCACCTGCCTCTGCCTCCCAAGTGCTGGGATTAAAGGCCTGTGCCACTACCATCTAGCTCACCTTGTCTTTTTGAAACATGCTTTCTCACTAACCTGGAGCGCACCAAGTGGACCAGACTGGCTGGACAGGAAGCCCCAGGGATCCACCTCTCCCCTCCCCCATCCAGCAGTGGGATTAAGAGCATGCACCAACAGGCAAGCTTTTGGTGGGGAGTGGTGGGTAATGCAAATTCCAGGAATCAAACTCAGGTCCTCTCAGCCTTCCACAGTGAGCACTTTACCAACATAACTATTTCCCTGGCCTTTTTTTAAAAGTCAAGGGAGCCTCAATCTTTCATCGTTTGGACTTTTCAATCACAAATGAAGAACTGCCAGAATTAAAATTTCAGTCTTTACTCAAAATATGCAAGCTTAAGTTCCAGCCAACCTGACAGCTGAAGCATCTTTCATATTGGAGAGCAGCTTTTAAAAGGTGTTAAACTGAGTACACACCTTTAATCCCAACACTCTGGAACCCTGGAGGCAGAGGCTGGGAGATGTAAGTTTCAGGCCAGCTGATGATCTACACAGTGTTACAGAACAGTCAAGAGTTTCATAAGGGGACCCTGTCAAGAGTTTCATAGGGGGACCCTGCCAAAAAACAAACAACAAAAACCAACCAAACCAACCTCTAAAAAACTGATAATACAACCAGGAGGTTCCTGACCCCCTTTGGCCTTCTATAGGTAGACATGAGATCTTAGAGCTTTAGGACTGTATTTCCATTACAAGATGTGAAACGGAACAAAAGTGGGCTCAGCCACTCAATTCTGTTGCGTCTCAGAGATCAAGGCAGTCAGAGAAAGCATCCGTCATGTTCAAGGGAATCACCTACAATCGGCATCCTATGTTAGAGACTTAGAAGGCATTTAAGGGAAATACATCCACACCATGAATGAAAAGCAGAGCAAGAGTGATAGGTCCTTAGAGCTCTACTCTACCGCTTCCTACAAGGGTTGCCACCTAGTGATTTTAATTTTTCAAGCCCAGGCACACTGCCAAGTCGACACTAGAACCGGACTAACAACTGATTTTCCTATTGCAACATCACCAACTCGTCCTGTGCTTTCCCTCTCCCCCACCTCAAACAGCAGTCCTCGCTGAAATCAGCCACTTTGTTCTACCATCCCTTCCACCTGGAAGCACTCCTCGGCCAGCCACCAGTGCTCCTCTTCTTGGAATATCGACTGACCATGTGGCCAGCTGAAAAGGCCAAAGCAGGGAAAAGGAAGAAAAGATAAGAGCTAAAACCTGCAGCAACTGTGAGCCAGTTCTGCATTTAGAAATCCAGCTGCCAAAGTTCTACTTCTTGGGCCCTGAGCAAAAACTCTGCCAAAATAAACGGCTACAGGTGAGAAATCAAATTGCACGGGCATATGTAAACTCAGTACTCTATATCCCAAACTTGACTCAAGGCCATGACCTTTCTCACCACCCAGTGCCCAGGTAAGCATTAGGATTCATAGAAAAAGGGTCCTCTTAAGGTGGGATTTAATCCAGCTACCTAACCTGACTTTCACTGGCAGCATCCCTTTACCCACCTAAAGCAGCCTTCTACCAAACAACTTAAGATAGTAGAAAATTCCGGATTTCTGTCCCCTCACCTAGCAGGGCCAGTAATCACACAATTCCTACCGAGTGCACTCTTGGTCGCGATGATCTTTTGGCAGCATCCTAAACTTTCACTTTAAATCCCACACAAAAAAGAAAACAGGGAGATAAAATACTTTTATTTTTCAAGTTCAAATGCCCAGGTGTGGTGGCGCACGCCTTTAGTCCCAGCACCTGGGAGGCAGAGGCAGGCAGATCTCTGAGTTCGAGGCCAACCTGGTCTAAAAAGCACATTCCAGGATAGCCAAGGCCACAGAAAAACCCTCTCTCAAAAAAACCAAAATAAAACAATAATAATAATAATGTTCAAAATTCCTCTCTTTGCCTTAAGAAACCCAGGGCTGGTCAGGTTTTCTTCTCAAATATGTGTGGAACTACTTTTCGAGACTGAGAACTCTTTCCTCCCAGGTTGTTTTCCGTAACAAGGTCTGAACTGAAGGGATCTAGGTTCAACTCCTTGCAGGTTCCCTATGTTCATCACTTTGAGCTGCTGTTCTGGCTGCACCCAGGTTTCCGGAGAGGATCCAGTTCGCTCCCCGTTACAGAGAGCCCCTAGAAACCAGACTCCCAAATGCTGTCCACCCCCTTCTCTCCTCTTCAGCAGCATCCTCAATGTGGCAAACAGAAAGGTGGGCTGAAGCAACAAGAAAAGTTCCCCAGGGTTGGGTACAAACTCCACCAGGGGGACTGGACTCACCTTCCCGACAGAGCCCCATGACTTCGCGGTTTTTCCCAAACTCCTTGAAACTTTCATCCAATTCGGGCCCTAGGAGATATACACACACAGGAGGAGGGGAGAGGCAGGTCAGTGGCCAGGAGTGTGACGCACGCTCACGCACGCACAGGGTAGGTGTGGGCACCTCAGCGTTCCACACCCAGCAAAAGATAGCATCTCTGACCCCCGAGGGGGCGGGTCACAGGACACGGCGCGGGGGAGGGGAGCAGGGCCGGAGAGGGGGAGGCGGGGGGCGTGGGGAACGGGGAGGCGTGGACACTCACCATCCTTCCCAGGAAGTTTGGAAGCTTCCACCCACAGATTCCACGACTGTCCCAGCATCGCTTCGGGACTGGGC